GCGCATCTCATGCGCGGGGTGCCGCACGCACATGCACGCACGCACAAGTGATGCGGCGCATTAAAAAAATAGAAAAACAAAAATGTCCTAATTGTGTCCAGCCTCTTTTCGGAAGGATCCCTACATAGCATATTAGCTAGGACCCGACGTCATGCAGAGATACACTTCAAACTTGTACTCCCTGAGGGTGGGCAGAGAATTTATAGTCTGGATTCGAATTCAGGTCTGTGCATGTCGCTTATGGGTCACCATTCCTCTGCTTTCTGGCTTTTCTTTTCTTTTCTCGTTTTTCTTTTCTTAGGAATACGTGCAGTGGCCCTAAGGGCCTTTACTCACCAAATGCACAAAAGACAAAACATATGGTGGTGTATTATTCCACGTTCTGCAGAAGATTCATTCTAATTTTGCACATTTCGTGAGTAGTGCAGCCAAGCCCAAGGAGTCACGTGCAGAGACCAACAGGCCCTAGCTACGTGAGCAACCCATAACTGCTGAAACACAGACCTGAATTCGAATCTTGAGTATATATTCGGCCAGCTCGTGATCTAGTTCATATTCAATGCCTACCTCGATTTTGGTGGGGGGGTCTGCGCTACATGTCTGCGTAGCCCTTCAGATAGCCTGCATGGGCTGTCTGAGCCGTGTTAAGGGGATCCGTTCTCTCTCTCTCTCTCTCTCTCTCTCTCGCCCCCCCTTGTATACACACGCCCCTTACAAAAAAAAGGAAGAAAAAAACGCATCTGCGCCGCATCACAGACACCTCTCTCTCTCTCTCTCTCTCTCTCTCTCTCTCTCTCTCTCTCTCGCCCCCCCTTGTATACACACACACCCCTTACAAAAAAAAAGGAAGAAAAAAACGCATCTGCGCCGGATCACAGACACCCCCCCCAACCCCAGCATCCCCCACCCAGAACAACTCCCCCATCCCCCCACCTAAACCAATATTGCAGATTCGGGGTCCTCTCGCCGAGCGCAGAACGACCCCAGTTTGAAAAAAAAAATAAAAAAAATTCTGGGCGTTTTTTGGTCCGTTTTTTTGTCCTGCCCGGTTTACCCGGGCTGCCCCCCCGGGCCCAACCGGCTGGGCCCAGCCCGGCAGGGCAGGCCCGGTCGGGCGGCGTCCTCACTCAGGAATAAAGGACTTTCACCCAATCTCTGAAATTCAGGCCTAGCCCCATTGTCTCCATGCAGGCATGGTCGATGTGAAAGCATTTGTTCGTTAGTTTTGTGATTCTATTCGCAAGAGCCTTAGCGAGGATTTTGTAGGGGGTGGTGAGTAGTGATATGGGTCTGTAGTTCTTTAGGTCTTCTTTGTCTCCTTTCTTATGCAACAATGATACCACACCGGTGCTTAATTCATTGCTTAGGCCTCCTTTTTGCCTGTTGTCATTGAAAAACTTGAGCAGGTCTTCTCCTAGGGTCGGCCAGAAGCAGCTCCAAAATCTTTTCAGAGGCCACCAATGCCCGGAGCTTTGTCATTTCCCATTTGGGTCAGGGCTACGTGTAGCTCAACTAGGGTTAGG